CAGGGATGGGTTGGGAAGGTCAGGGAGTGAGGTGGGAAGGTCAGGGATGGGGTGGGAAGGTCAGGGATGGGGTGGGAAGGTCAGGGAGTGGGGTGGGAAGGTCAGGGAGTGAGGTGGGAAGGTCAGGGAGTGGGGTGGGAAGGTCAGGGAGTGGGGTGGGAAGGTCAGGGAATGGGATGTTTCCGTGCTCAGGAGCCCCCTTGGAGCTGCTGGCCGGAGCCCAGGTGATGGTGGTGCCTGTGTTTTGGGGGGAATGGGGTGTTCCCACACGTGGGAGCCCCCTCGGAGCCGTTCCCCGGGTCTCAGCCGCCGTTCCCGCCCCAGGTCCGGGTGGAGGGCTCGGTGAGGCGGCTCCCGGAGGAGGAATCCGAGCGCTACTTCAGCTCCCGGCCCCGGAGCAGCCAGATCGGGGCCGTGGTGAGCAGGCAGAGCTCCGTCATCCCCGACCGAGAGGTGAGCCTGCCCTTCCTGAGGGAACCACCAGGGGCTGCCCCGTCCTCCCCTGCCCCCCTCACCCCTCCCCGTCCCCGCAGGACCTGAGGAAGAGGAACGCGGAGCTGGAGGAGAAATTCCGGGACAAGGCAGTGCCCAAACCGCAGTACTGGTGAGTGCTGGGGGGCTGTGGGTGAAGGGGTTCATCCCCCTCTGAGCCCCCCTAAAGCCCCGCGTGCCCCTGCCAGGGGTGGGTACGTCCTGGAGCCGGAGGTGGTGGAGTTCTGGCAGGGCCAGACCAACCGGCTGCACGACCGGATCGTGTTCCGGAGGCTCCGGGACCGCTCGGCCCCGCTCGGGTCCATGACCCACCGTGGGCACGGGGACTGGGTCTACGAGCGCCTCTCCCCCTGAGGATCCCGCTCATCCTCCTGGAATGCCACCCCCCATCCTCCCGGCCCCTCGTGGGGTGCTGGGAATCGCATCCCGAGCTCCGGGAATGCCGGTGGGACCTTCGTCGCCCTCTCGTCTGCATCCGCTCCCCCAGTGCTGCTGGGGGTTGATTAATCATGTTAATGGTCGTGGAGAGACCCTAATTGTGGGCCCCAGTGATCCTCCCCCCTCCCCAGTCCTGCCACTGCCACCATCCGTGTTTTAATCGGAATTGTGTTATAACTGGAATCGTGTTATAACTGGAATCGTGTTATAACTGGAATCATGGAATGTGCTCAATTCCCGCTGTATTCTTGCTCTTGTTTAATTGACTTATTTCATTAATGTCACCACGGTGTCACCCCTGGCTCTGTCCCAGCGCCAGGGACCCCCTCCCTCCCCCCCCCATCCTCCACAACCCTCCCCCTGTCCTCTCCTCCAGCTGAGCTTGGAAAAATGACATCCCGGATGTCCCGGAGGTTTGGGGTTAATTTTTACCCACACGGGGCCGGGCACTCCTGGAACAGCCGGGAATCCCGACCCTGGAGCCGGCCCTGGGTCACATCCCAAGGAAACCAGTCCCTGATAACCTTCCCTGCTCCGTGTTTGCCTTCCCAGCCTCTGGATCGTGCCAAGAGGTGTCGCTCCCCCGGTGGGAACCACATGTGGATATCACTGGGAAAAGAGGGGTCAGGGACCCGAAAATGGGGTAAAAACCACTAAACCCACCCCAAAATGGAGCTGGAGAACATCAAACCACCCCTAAAAAGCCCCCAGACCCCTGAAAACCGTCCCTGGAGAATCTCAGGCCTCCCTTAAAAATCATCTGGAGACCTTCAAACCACCCTAAGAAGCCCCAAAACCACCCCTGAAGAACCTCAAACCCTTCCCCCCCAAAAAAACCCTTCAAAGCTTCTGGAGACCTCCAAAATCCCAGCAGGAGGAACCGAACTCGAGCCCAAACTCCCCCCGGGATGGGCGTTAGTGATCCCACGGGCTCCTCCCTCCTCTGCCTCGTCCCTCCCTTCCCGGGACAAAGAGCAGGTGGAGAGCAAACACTGCCGAGGGGGTGGCCCTGGCACTGCCCTCATGCCGGGAATCGGGAACTTGGCACCCTCTGGGCTTTTGTCAGCGCTTGGAGCCTGCGGAGTTCGGGCACAGCCGCGCCCTGCGGGGCAGGGAGGGCACCCCGGGCACCCCCCGTGTCCCTGCTCCACGGGGTCAGGGATTCCCCGGGATGGCTCTGCTCCCACGGGGGTCCTGCAGGGATCCCGAGCCCTCCCACCCTGCCAGGCCGGGCCCGGGGATGTGCTGAGCTCTCCCTGGTTTATTAACAGCACTTAATTAGCAGCAGGTACCGGAGCTCCCAACGCCCCCAGCAACCAGCGGGAGCCCCCCGGGGTCGGCTCCCCACTTCCAGCAGCAGGGAGCGATTCCCTGAGGAACGCGGCTCCCCCCGGGAGCCCCCCGTGGAGGGAGGGAAGTGTCACATCCCGCGTTTTGGGGGTGACTTGGCAAGGACACGGCGCGGGTGGCTCTGCCACGCAGCCCCCGGGGACTGGGGGACGAGTGGGGGCTCGGGATTGGGAATGCGCTGGGGGCAGAGCTGGGGGGGCTCCGGAGGAGTGTCCTCATCCCAGGACGAACCAGTCAGCCTGGGAGGGACGGGCTCAGCCACCCAGGGTCCGTGATTATCCCTGGGATAAACCCCATCCCGAGTCCTGCCTCTTGCCGGGGCCGCGTGGATCGGCATTGCCGGGGCGGCGGGCGGGTGCCATCCCCGCCGGGTCACTTTTCCTCCTTCTCGGCGGCCCCGCAGAGGTTCGGGTGCTCCGCCAGCGTGGCCCTCACTTTCTTCTTCTCCTTGAAGCGCCCCGAGTGGGAGACCTTGACGTGCTTCCCCTTGGTGCTCTTGTCCACGATCTTCTCCAGGCGGGCGGCGAAGCCGGGGGGTCCCTCGGGGCCGGTGCCCTCCTGGGGGTCCCCCCCGGGGGCCGCGGGGCCCTCGGGGGTCTCGTACAGCACGGTGGGCGCTGCCTGGCGCTTCCTCAGGAACGTCAGCTTCCACCAGCCGTGGCTGTCGGCCATCCTGGAACGGGAATTCGGGGGGGTCGCGCTCCCTCCTTGAGGGGGTTCCTTGGACCCCCCGGGATGTGATTCCAGAGGGATGGAAGCAGGTGCTGGCTTTGCTTGAGGCGCTTCCCCGGGGGGATCCGCGCGGGGTCAGGGATGGGGGAGCACCCCGCGGGTACCAGGAGGGGATGCTCCATGGCTCGGGAATTCCGGAGCGCCGGGAAAAGGCCTTGTGGCAGCGCCCGGGAGGTGCCTTGTGAGCCACGTGTAGAGGGGCAGGGAGGGAGCCCAGGGAGCAAACAGGAACAGGAACTGGGAGAAGGTGGGAGCTGGGGAGGGGTCGGGGTCCCCCCCCGGGGTTGGGGGTGCCTCTTGCTAAAGGGGGCAGGCGGGAGCGTTGGAAGAGCTCGGGAATGTTCCGGGAACGCTCCAGGAAGGCTCCAGCGATCCAGGAAGGCTCTGGGAGCCGCGCGTAGCTCCAGGGCAGGAACCCAGGAAGGCGGAGGAGCCAAAGGCTTCCCTGGCCGCGGGCAGGGACAGGGACGGGATTCCCGGCGCTCTGTGCCCGTCCCGGGGGTCGGCGCAGCTCCGTGTCCCCCCAGCGTGGGGCTGGGCCACCACCGCCCCCTGCCCAGCCCCTCCCCGGGCTCACCCCCTGGCATCAATTCGGGAGGATAACCCCCCCCCCCTTGGAAACGGGGACGAGGACACCAAAATTGGGGCCACCAGGGGGGTGGTGTCCCCCGTGTCCCCCCACGCACCCCCCTGTGCCAGAGCCAGGTGGGACCACCCCCGCCTGGTGTCCCCGGGGTGTCCCCGGGGTTCTCACATCCCATCTCCACCTCGGACACCCCGTCCCTGTACCTGCTGCTCCCGCGCCCGGGGTGTCCCGGGGTGTCCCGGGGTGTCCCGGGGGTGTCCCGGCCGGGGGGCACGGGCAGGTGCCGCTCACCTGCCGCCGTCCCGGTGTTCCCGTCAAGGTGAACCCGCGCCCAAACCCCTCCTGCCCGAGCAAACAGCGGGGCCGGGCCAGGCACGGCTGAATATTCATGACAGGGAGCGGTGCCAGCGCCGCCCGGGTGGCCCTGGGTGGCCCCGGGTGGCTCTGGGTGGCTCTGGGTGGCTCTAGGTGGCAGATACCGCACCGGGCTGGCCGTGGGGGCTCCGGTGTCGCCCCGGTAAGCAGCACATGGAGCCGGGGTCGGGCAGCCCAGGTCCTTTGAGACCCCTTGGGGGGGGGAATAGAACTGATCCCAGGTCCCTTCTGGATCCCTGTGGAGAATGTGGAACTGATCCCAGATCCCTCGTGGATCCGTGGGGAGGAGTTAGAGCTGATCCCGAGTGCCTTGTTGGGACATCCAGTGGTCCCTGAGGGATCTGGGATCTGCTCTAGAACACCTCACCAGAGATCCCCAGGACTGGGCTCTTGCGGTGGCTCCTGGGGATGTCAAGGGGATCTTGGCTCTGTGCTGGGGCATCCAGAGCTTCCCAAGGGATCCCCGAGGGATCCGGGATCAGCTCTGGGGAAAACTGGGGATCCCTCCTGGGTCTGGAGTCTGCTTGGGAGCCGCGCAGGGACCGTGAGGGGCGGCTGTGGGGGCTCCCTGGGGGATTCCCGGCTCTGTCCTGGGGCTCGACCGGGACCGGGACCGGGATCGGGACCGGGACCCCGGCTCCCATTGGCCCCGCCCCTTCCCCGCTCCAGCCAATCGCGGTTCCGGCACGTGGCGCTCCCGCCGGGGCGCCTCCTTCTGATTGGTGAGAAGGCGGGCCCCTCTCAGAGAGTGCGCTTTGATTGGTTGAGGCGCGGGCCCCGAGGCAGGGGATTGGCTGGGGCGGGGCGAGGCGGAAGTGGCGCTGATGGCGACATGGAGGTGTGGGATCGGGACGGGACCGGGATGGGAGCGGGAAAGGGGCCGGGAGCGGGGCCAGGGCCACTCTCGGGAAGCGGGGCAGGGCCCCAGGCCCAGCGCAGCGGGGACGGGCCGTGCCCGGGCCCTGGAGTGGGGGGTACCCGCTCTGGCCCCGCTCCCGGTGCCGCTCCCGGTGCCGCTCCCGATGCCGTTCCCGGTGCCGGTCGGGCCCCTCCAGCCCCACTCCTGCCGTGTCCCCCCCGCAGGCCCCTCCCCAGGACTACCGGAACGTGCCCATCGACATCCAGACCAGCAAACTCCTGGGTACGGCGCGGGAAGGTCATCCCGGGATTTGGGGACCCTCGGGATTTGCCCCCCGGAGCTGGGGAGGCAGCCGGGAATTCACCCCGGTGTTTGGCCCCTCCCTTTCACCTCCACTCCTGGGGAAGGAGCTGGGAATTCCTCCCCGCCTTTGCCCCCCCCGGGTGACCCCGCTGTCCCCGCTGTGCCCAGACTGGCTCGTGGACAGGCGCCACTGCAGCCTGAGGTGGCAGAGCCAGGTGCAGCTCATCCGGCAGAAGATCGATGTGGCCATCCAGGACATGCCCGAGAACCAGGAGATCAAACAGCTCCTGGAGGGATCCTGTGAGTGGGAG